CTCCTGTGGGCGGAACTAAGTCTCGAGGATAGGAGTCGAGGATAGGAGTCGAGGATAGGAGTCGAGGAGGGGAATTTGAGAAATGAGAAAGTGCCCGGGTCAAAGGGTGAGATAAAACCAGGTGAAGAAAACAACAAACTGAGCTGTGAGAGGAGAGGAACCACCATCTGATCAGAGAATCATTAAAGTCAGTCTAAAAGAAATGACACATCGCCTCCGGCCCGGTTTCGCTCACCGATGACGGAGTTGACGTTCTTGGACGTGTTTTTCCCGAAGGCGCAGATACAGGCGCACTCAGCGGGAACCGTGAAGCTGGCCAACGACCACTGACTGTCCACGTACTGACCAATCACAGGGCCCACCTTCCCCACACGCGCCAGCCTGAACACACACACACACACACACACACACACACACACACACACACACATACACATACACACACACACACACACACACACACACACACACACACACACACACACACACACACACACTTTTATTAATTCCTGCGTAAAATTTCAGGAGGTAGAGCAAGTCAGGAAGAAGAGACAAGGAAACACAGGGTAGGACAGATGTGTGAGAGTTTAAATTAATATATATAATTATATATAAATATATATTTATATAATTATATATAAATATATATTTATATATTTATGCAGAATAAAAAAATTATTAGGAAAAATCAAGATTTGGGAAAAATAAGTAAAAAAGAGAAAGTTAACATTTTGAGAAAAAAGTCTAAATGTGGGGGGGGGGGGATCAATAAATTAGACAGTCAACATTCTGAGAAAAAATAATGATCCTATCCGAGGTGAGACAGCATTTAAAGAGGTTTGCACTGAATAGTGTCTGCTCGTGCCTCGATGCAGCCTGATGGCACAGAAGCAGGTGGAGCCAAGGTGGAGCCAAGCTGGAGGAAGCTGGTCTTACGCTGAGCGGCGGTTCAGTTTGGTGTCTTTCAGAGCGAAGATGTGGACGGTTCCTTTATCGCTGGACGCACACAAGAAGGACGAGTCGTGGCTGAAGTTGATGCTGGGAAAGTAATCAACAAATAAGAGAATCAGAGCCTCAAACAAACGTCTTTTATCGTTTCTTTTAGCTCTAAAGGGTCCCAGAAAGAGTCGCTGTGATTGCTTACTTTCCCTCCCTGCAAACGGAAGACTTTAAGTTAATTAAACACTGACACCTTTTTGATTTAATACTAAGAGCTGTTTATTCTATAGTTAAAACTATGAAATGTACTTTGGACAATATCCTTGTTTCCTTAAAGTCCAAGGTATTTAAATGTCCTGTCGTCAGTCCAAAACCCAAAGATGCATACTTTTAAAAAAAAAAAACTGAAAAAATGTATACAATTAATACAATAATAGTTTCCAGCTTAATAGGATGAGGGAGACACACTATGGCTCTGTGATGGGTGTTTACCAGTAGAGTGTGGCGGGGTCTGTTCCCCGGCGCAGCTCCACCAGTTTGTCTCGTGTCGTGGTGTCGAACAGACGGATCAATGTTCCTTTGCGAGACGCGGACGCCGCCACGCTGCCCGGCTGGTTCAGAGCCACGCAGGCGATCTCACTCTGATGGGCGTTGATGGTGAATGGAGCTGAGGACGTGCCGGGCTTGGTGTTCGACAGATCCTGGAGAAAAAACAAGATTGTTTTATATTGAACATATTCTGTACAGCGGTGCAGGGAGGATGTGAAAAAAGTTAACATTTTGAGAACAAATTTAAATATGAGAAAAAGTCAAAAACCGAGATTTAAGTTAAAATTCTGAGAAAAAAATCTAAATATGAGAAAAATCTAAATATGAGAAAAATCAAATGAGAAAAATTAAAATATGAGAAAAAAATCTAAATATGAGAAAAATCTAAATATGAGAAAAAAATCTAGATATGAGAAAAATCTAAATATGAGAAAAATCAAATGAGAAAAATCTAAATAAGAGAAAAAAATCTAAATAAGAGAAAAAAATCTAAATATGAGAAAAAAATCTAGATATGAGAAAAAAATCTAGATATGAGAAAAATCTAAATATGAGAAAAATCAAATTATGAGAAAAATTAAAATATGAGAAAAATCTAAATATGAGAAAAAAATCTAAATATGTGAAAAAAATCTAAATATGAGAAAAATGTAAAATTTGAGAAAAATGTTACAATTCTAAAAAAAAATCAAATCTGAGAAATGATTATTATTTCAGGATAATAACCAAAAACACATTCAGAAAACCATTGACCTCCGGACAAAGGGGACAGGAAGTGCTAAAGATAAGTCAATGTCAACCCCCTGATTTCCTTCAGGTGATCCTGTGGGTGTGAGACTCACTACGAGCTGCAGGCTTCCACATTTATGACCTGGAAACACCAGCAGCTGTTTCTCCAGACTGGGACACAAATCACACAAACCTGGAATAAAAGGAGACCCCCTTCTTACATTCATTTACAAAAACAGTGATGGAGGAAACAGAACTTATTTACTTATGTATCTAAATAGTTATCAACGCAATAAACCGTATTTAATGTTGTCTTCATTTACATTATGTAATTTCATATTCTGTTCTTGTACATATCATATTCTACTTATATATATAGAGACTTCTTGTACTATGTGGTATTTGATTGTATATGTTGCATTGTTGGAGGGGCTCAGGTCAGATAATGTCATTGCCATTTATACTCTGTAGCTCATGTGCATATGAGGATAACACATTTGAATCTTTGAATCTTTGAATCTTGAAGCAGGACTTCTCACCTTTGGGGTTATCTCTGGTGTCAAACTCAAACAGTTTGACGGGATTATTTGGGAAGCTGTACACATAGATCCGGTTCTTTAACACGATGATGATCCTGGAATAGGAGCAAACAAAACGTTGATTATAAGTATTTTAGTAGGGGTGCACCGAATGGGAAATTCTTGGCCGAAACCGATACCGAAAATAGGAAAAAGTTGGCCGAAAACCGAATGCCGAAAGGCCGAAAATGATTAATAGAAATATATATAATGTATACATTTTTAACCAATGTTGTTCAGTTGCCTGATTATGGAAAAATAAATGATTATGGCAAAACTTAACTTAAATAATAATCAGTATTATGGGTCCATAAAACATTTATTCAGCACTTTTGAATGCATACAGTACATTAATTCCAAGTCAAGTGCATTTTCTTTTCTCTGTAGGATAACTACAACAAAGTGCATTCAGAACAAAGCCAAGGTGCTTTAAAACTACATAAACATCTAGGCCAGTAGGCCTACAACAAAATAGTGTAAATAAAGACTGTAACAGCCAGGCCTTCAACAACAACAAATGCACCTATAAGTGCATGCATACAAATGTGCAAACTGGATAAATCCACATGAATGTAACTATTTACAAATGAAATTACAATTGAATTTCAAGAATCTGTAAATAAGGCTGTCTGTCCTCATAAGCAAAGTAGTAAACATTGTATAAAGATACATAAAGTGAAAACTGGATACAAAATCCACAATCAATTACAAATTAAATTACAATTTCAAGAATCTGCAAATAAGGTGGTCTGTCCTCATGAGCAATGTAAACAACATTGTATCATTTAGATACCGAAAGTACAATATATTGAACACTGTGCTGCTGTCATTTCCCCCTAATGATAACCTGAGATGGTGAATTATAACTCACAATGAAAATTGT